ACAAGACATTAAATAAAGCTGCCGTCTAAGCTACCGAGTTTCGTTGACAGGAACCCTTATTTTATAAGTTAGTAATTATTGCTTCTAGTAGTGACGTAATACTTGTTGTTAATTGCTAACTTTAATATACATTATTATGTTGTTTAAAAATTTGTCTTTCATATTATGTTAGGTACTGAATTTATTACATATTTTTACATTATCTCAAGTTGAAATAATGATGAATAACAAATAGGTACTTATTGGTAACTGACGCCTTTCGATAAAATCAACTGTGGTATCAATTAATCCAGTGCGCTTCTTGGTATAAGTATTAATATTAATAATAAGTCATTTACGTTGAATTCTTAGGTACTAGAGGTCAAATACTTCTCTCATAAGAACAATTTGGTCTCATTTATTTTCGCAAGATACGAAGTAGACCAAAAGAGGGCGCTCTTTCGTTATTAAAGTTGTACTAAAACTAAGTATTAAGCATAAAAAGTAAAAAAGTATGGCTGTAAACGTATTCTGATTAACTGTAAAGTTTTCAATGATGACAAAGAAAATTTCTTTTGAACTTTTTGGATTTTCTTATAAATCCATTCAAAATCGTATATCCTAAAATGATCCATTTCAAATGCTGACTATATCTGCAGTGCCGTTATATTTTTTTTCTTACATTACATAAAGTTCAAGTTTACTAGACCATGAACAGATATTTCTAGGTGGGGGAAAATAGCATATTATGTATATTTTCTTATCAATTTATACCTAATTGCTTAGTGCCATCATTTAGTTCGAATCGTGTCTATTTGGAAGAAAGTTAACATAAGAATAAGAATTTGTGCAAGTAAAATGAGAATACACAATGCGCCAATTTACCCCGACCAAGAAAAATCTAGCCATGGCGACTCATTGGCCGGGTATTTATTACAGGTATGCGTAGTACGGCCAGTAAAAACGAGTAAAATAAATTATTGACGGCACGATGTAGATTTTAGTGTTCTTAACAGTTACACATAAATAATCATCTACTATATTATTTAAAGTTTAGGCATTTCGGATACAAAAATAAGTTATGTATTAGCCCTACATAAAATTCTTTGGCACTGAAGATTGCACTGGATACAAAATAATATCAACTTTTCCATATTTTCTTTAAATTCTCACCAATTACAATTTCTTGATTTGTGTCTCTTGAGGTCTGAGTTAAGTATAAGGTCCAGATGTTTCGCTTGTTGGTAACAGTTACAGCTGCAACAGAACAATATTCAAACGCATTAATCATTATAATAATATTATTAGAGCTAAGTTAGTAATTAGAAAGAAAAGTAATTAGGTATGGCTTATACACCTAGTGCTTAGCAAAATTGCATAAGTATATATTAATATCACATGCAGTATTATGATGTAATAGTATATAGTAAAAAAGCGAATTACAACCCGAGTAGATGTAAAAATATAAGTAGGTGTGTTACTATTAGTTACTCAGTATAGTATAGTTGAGAAAAGAATATTGAGTAGATTTTGAAAAATGGTATTAATACTATTAAGTGATGGATTGTTATTAGAAATTGATTGTTAGGTAATAAGATTGGGACACATATACTGTAGATTTATCAGCAACTAGAGATCTAGAATTTTTTTTAAATATCACGTATTGAGGCTCAGATATCAGCTTTTTTAAGCTGAAATGGACCAAATAATACTCATTATGTAGTTCAAGACAAAATGGATCTTAGCATTAATATGCTTAATAAGAGGTAGATAAATTCAGTCAATATCAAACGGTTAGCGATTATTTGAATGAGCGTTAGTAACAAACGCAAACTGAACTTGAAAGTTAGTTAGGAAAATAATATTATTTATTACTGACATTGGAGGCCTTTAGCGGCGGGTCATTCAGACACGAAATCCACCTTCTCCGGCATATCTTTGTGTAGATGGCGCTCATGTAGCAACAGATTGTGCTTCTGATAAGCCCTGTACACACAGTACGGACACTTGAAACTTGGCTGTTTTCTACATTCGTATTTTATATGCCGTTGGAGTGAGCCCTTGTGCTTGTACTTGTTCCCGCAGTCGACGCATTCATACAGAGTCCACCCAGCTTTACCGCTGCTCAACCCAGGCGTACCATAACTCAATATATAAGGAGTGTACAACTGTGCAACTGAAATTAAAGGCAAATAAAAATAAATACGTGCACATAACAGCTACCACCGTGAAGTGTAAAGCGAAGCCACCGATAGAAAATGTGCTACCGTGTGAAAGCTTAGGAAAATGCACCATGTCTCCCATTAATTTGCTCATGTACTACTGATATTAATCTAACACTAGCTCCCTTAATACTAGTTTAAATTCGCATGCAACCAGATATGCATAGTATAATTTATTAGTTACAATATGAATTTGATTCAATTCATTGAAACTTGTTAATTTCAACAAATCACCTTACACCTGAACAATGAAAGTTTTACATGCATAATAATATTTATTGAGTACTCAATGAAATACAGATTACTCAATGCCAATCTTTATGTCATTGAGTCAGAAGATAGACCCAGCCCTTAATTACCGTAGTTATTAAAACAAATACATACCAAGAATAGCAACTTTATTTAAAATACAAAAAGGTTATAAAAAATACAATCAAATGCATTTTAATCACTGTAACTTCTTATTGACAGTAAATTGTATCTACAATAACTACAAAAATATTCTAGGTAGCAATTTCTTAAACATAAAGAGTAACTAGGTTTTGTTCGTAACATCACTTGGGTCATGATACTGATTGGCGAGACGTAGTCGACTCAATATTCCACTGCTTTACTTCATCTAGCAACGCTTTTTACTTTATCACAGCTATATGTGCTTTATTCTGCATAAAATATATTGTATATTGTATTGTCAAGAGTATATACTAATATTTTTTTTTTATAAAAACTAGTGATTTTATAAATTATGGTTGACCATGTACTGTTCATATCACAACCTAGAAATTTTGCAATAACAAGTTACGAGTCATCCATTGATTGAACCAAAAGTTTTTTACTGAAATATTTTAAACCCTAATGACTAACTTTTTGAAGGCACTTAGTTTTATACTGACAAGATTTACATGGTTGTACTTTGTGAACTCTACATTTTGATTGTATGATGGTAACTCCAGCGGATAATAATCTAATGTGGTAGTTTGTTGGTAAATTCACTCAATTGTAACTCTATATGTCTCTTGGCTGTAGTTTAATTGAATCGCTATACAGCTAGAGCTACGACGGCATGAGTTTACATACATGCTACCACGTCCTAAACTTAAAAAATAATGTCTAAATGGTAATGTATAAAATACTTATTCCTATGTGGAAGATAATGGAACTTCCTTGACATATCAACATGATTGTGCTTAAGTCATTGTAACAAACCTGTAATGGCAGTGTATCAACCTAATTTCAAAAGATTCAACAATCAATTTAAGGCACTCTTTTGACCAAGTATTCAGTAATAAATTGGCCCCAAATATAATATCAATCAAATACAGTACTGATAAACATCTCGAGGAACTAAAGAGAACCAATCTTCACACATATTAAGACTGAAACGTATCAAGCTTAAATTAAAAATAAAATAAATGCATTAGATGTAAAGAGATCTAAAAATAAATTGAAATAAAAAAATTAACTTATGAGTATTACAATAATAATGGAACATGCATTTATGGCAAAGAACTAGTGCTTGCTAACTAAGCGAAAATAGCTTCATTTTCATTAATCTATTATAATATAGTAGAAAACTTGTACACGATCGTGTGTCTGTCAAGTACACACGATTTCATCAATAATATAATCAATCCCAATCCAAACTCAACAGCTCTTGCTCTCACAAATTGAATACAATTTGGTCTTTTGAGTTTCAGTAATATTTCGATTCTCAGTGTCTTATAAACTGAATATCTAAGTATTATTAATCTATAAATTTAGATTTAGAAGATAGTAACTGCAATTGGTAACAACAACATTAATCCAAATCAACTTTTCCAAACTATCGATTTAAACTTCATTACTCGCAACCAGGAATGATAGTTTACAATATTAAATGCTGTACATAAAAATATAAAAAGGAGAGTAAACCTATACAAAATCACTTTTCCACTTAACATACTGGATAAATGCAACAGTTGCAAACACTGCTACAGTCGTGTAACAGCGTGAATACTATTAGTAATTCGCAAATTGTTCAAGTTCATTAAGGTAGGTCTATATTTCGTCATCATAACTTCGATTGTTACGTTAATTATTCGATTAGGTAACGATTTAAGGCACTGTTTGTGACCTCACGAATGGCGATTATATCTAACGTGACTGTCTGACGCCACTATCACAAAAGAGATTTCATCACATTTATCACAATAAGGATAACTTGGGAATTTGTAAGAACTTCTCTAACTACACGAGTTATAAAACTTTAAATTTAACATACTAACGATTCTATAACGCCAAAATAGATTTATCAAAAATGGTATCTACTCATAACTGTGTCAATAGCAGTAAACTTGATATGTAAAACCTAATTACGATCAACATGCTTATTAAATATGGAGTATTTATTTAGTGACTAAGTCGGAGAGAATGGTCGCTATGTGCAGGCGTCCACGTTGTCCTGCTTTATGTACTGCTCGGGTTTAATGTGTACCTCGCGGTGCATGCGCTCCATGTGGCGAGCAATGTGCATCTTCTGCTTTGCACGGTATACGCAGTAGGGGCACTGGAACTGAGGCTCTTTGCCGCACTCCCACTTCTGGTGATTTCGCAGTGAGGATTTCAGTTTGTAGACTCTGCCACAGTCCGCGCAAGTGAAGCTAGGTTCGCCAACAGTCGGAGGTAGGGACGGCGCCGGTACCCTCATACCAGCGAAAGGCAGCGCAAGGCGAGCCGACCACTGGTCCCACGTGAGGCCTCCGATCCTAGTGAAAGACACGTCTTCAGGACCGCTGCAGCCGCCGCCTGAAATCGCGGAGATGTATCATAAAAAGGGTTCGAGTCGCGGGCCGTTCACACAAACGCAACATTCAACATTCCCGTGAGGTTAACAACAGTTACAAGCAACACATAAATACATGTTATATACATACAATACACGTGATACGTACAAATAAATAGATGTATAGATATAATAGATACTATATATATATATAAAGGTAGTATTCTACTGTGAGTGTCCACCGAGTGCTGTGATGAAAGCTTTGCAAAAAAGGAAAAGTAAAAAAAAGAACAAAAAGGAGAAATAACGTTTATTTTTTTATAATCGTCTTTTGTATCGAAGATTCACTGTTTCACAATAATTTTCTTGCTTACAGTGGTTTTTGAAGCGACTCACAATGTTTTTTTTTTTATACTAGGCATGTAAAGAAATCTCATGGTGTTACTGGAGCATTTTAGTCACACAGCTTTTGTCATTGTAATAAACATTTTGTTAATGAAATGTAGTCTCCCGACCCATGGGCTTTCTTGTCTACCTGAAATTATTAATTATATTAGTATGAACGAAAAGGGAAAAGAATATAATGCAACATGCGCAAGTTGAAAACGCAAGCGAGTGGTTTCAGATGTTTTATTGACGATCATGCGTACATGCGTTGTTAATCGACGAACATATAATATGCTGAACAAATTGACTTACCTAATAACAAGTTACAAACGTGTTATGTTATATACTGGAATAGGCAAAAAATTTAATGAAGCAAGGAAAACACATTTGTATCTGATATACTATAGCTATATTTGATTAAACTTTTCTACCAAGTAAACCCCAATATATTCATATAAAAATCACACTAATTGATAACTACTCCAATAACATTAACAAACAACATAACCAATTTTAATATAAATTCATACATCTGTACCTCATACCGCAATCGTAACATGATATGAAGGGAATATTGCATATATCAAAAACATTATTTTTCTATGCTTAGCAATGACTTGTTTCAACAAATAACATTCTTTATTTCTTATCATCACGTTAAAAATCTAATACTGACTTTGGTCAAATAGCTTTGTTATCCTAGTTTAACAAAAAATATCAACAGTCAATATGCTAAACGAAACATGAAAATATGTTATTGCATGTAAATATCAGTTAATATCAAGACAACACGTTTAAACAAAAATATAAATTTTGAACACATTTTATATCCCAGTTCACCAAAATTCTAACCAAAATTATGTAAAATATCAATAAATATGTTTAATTACTACAGGTAACATTGTAGGCACATTATTGATGAGCTTTTAACTAACTAATTTGCAATGTTCCGAATTATTGCACAAAGGCGACCAGCATAATTAATGAGCGAATCACACAAACATTCGGAACACTACATTACAAAGGACAAGAGTCCATAAAACATTATCCTAATAAATAAACAACATTAAAATAACTTTGGGTTTGCTACAAAGAAAGTAAGGAAGACAAAGGTAAGTGGTCCCATGTACTAAGAAATTAATCGAAATAAATTATAAACAAGAACAATAGGATAATATAGCGAGACTAAACATACGTCGCGACATGTTATGCTGTCGTCTATTATAAATAAATCTACCCGTGGCGGAAACTACCGTGGTTAATGATGTAGAGACCTGATTAGGCAGGTCAATGTAATATCAACTAAATATTTATTTAATATCATTGCACTAAATTATCAATTTGGAATTATTCCTTGCTAGGAATGATAAGGTCATTAAAACTAAACAAATTCGAGTTAAATAATGGAAATTCCAAAAATTTGGTTGTAATGACCTCTACAGGTCAGTGATAAGACAAATTACGTCGTTTCACTCAAGAAAGGATTACTTCTTTACACTAGTTTCCATTTTTGTCTAATATTTAAAATTACGGCGACCTTGGGTCATATTCATCTGAATAAAATACTTAGGGTCAGTCTTAACTACCATAATAAACTCTAAAACAAAAACAACAAAATTAACACTAATGCCGTTAGGGAATGTGCATATTACAACTATTTCTTTAGTGTATATTAAAACGTCGTCAACAAAAAAATAATGTAAATATAAATAAAATTATTGCAGTACCGATTTGGTTAGGTATCTACTTTGGTCTAAAGATTTTTAAAATATATTTCTCTTCTTAAACATAACTAGATAGAGGTTTTTTTATTCCGCCTCACTTTGTTGCTGGCGTATATGTACCACTCGTTGTTGTGGTGCTTCCTTATGTGTACGCCTAGGTTGCCCCGCTGCTTGGCCTTGTAGGAGCAGTAGGGACATTGGTGGGATGGGGCCTTGCCGCCACACTCCACGTTTTCGTGGCGGCGCAAGGTGGACTTCCAGCGATACTTCTTACCGCAATGCTTACATTCGAACTGTCGGCTCGCGTCGTCCGAACTATTTCCGTCTCTCTTCCAGTGCCCTTTCATGTCTGGTTTGGTGTCGAAGCCGTCGTCGCCGTGAATGCCACCAGAGTTGCCGGGGAACCCGCCGTTGCTGTCGTAGAACGTGTCCGACTCTTCAGGCAATACTATGTCGTCCGTGTCATCGTACTCCGCGTCAGACTCGGTATCGTCTTGCTTGATGGGTAGCTTATAGTCCATGTTCGGTGTAACAGTATTGTTGTTTTGCATAAAAGCTTGCTGCAAAAGATGCGCTTTAATATTCTCCGGGATCGAATTGAGCGTATCTAATGGCAGCTTGGGTATGTGCAACGGCGAGGGATAGGGCGCAATGTCTTTAGTGGCGGAGGGCTTCATGATGTTAGTGACCTGGATGCAGGACGGCACCAGCGACACCAGCGACTGTGACTGCGCCTGCTGTACTGACAGCAAGGACAGCAGAGCCGACGGCAGGTGGTTATCCTTGTGTAACTCTGAAATACAATACATTAACGGTATTGCAAATAATAAGTTAAGCGAAACTACATACTGAGTCTTGTTAATTCTACCAAAGGCTAAAATAAAATTAAGGAACCAAAGAAATGCGTTATAATAATAAAAATATAAAAAAATAATAATTTCTGTTAGAAATTATAAAGGCGAAGCTTCTAAATTCATGCAAAACATGCACAATCCAAATAACAGAAACTGATTTCTTTTAACTTATCTTCCCATAAAAACATTATCGGAATCGACTGGGTGACATTGAACGGATAAAAATTAAAGCCTCTCATTACTAGAATTGTTTAATAGTTCAAAAAATATTGAATATCAATCATTTGTCAATACACAGGTAAACATGACGCATATAAAATTTAACTCCAATATGAACTAAAGGAAGATCAAATAGTTTCATAATAATAAGGCACTAGTGGAGCGGAGTGGACGACGTCACTTGGGACCGAGCGAGGGCTGGTCGGGGTGCTTCTTGTCGATGTGCTTCTTGAGCTCGTTGCGGCGGTGCTTGCTGTAGGCGCAGTACGGACACTTGTACTGCGGCTCGCGCCCGCACTCCAGCGTCACGTGCCGCACGAGGTTCTTGCGCGCGTTGTAGCAGCGCTGGCACTTCGGGCACCGGTAGCCCTTCTCAGTCTTGTACTGCGCACACTCCAGCCGCGCGCTGGACGGCGGCAGGATGTTGTAGGGCGACGTCTTGCCGCCGCGCTCGCTGCGCTCCGGCGAGCTGTCAGGGGACGCCTTGGGCGACACCTTAGGCGAGGGCTTCGGCGTTACCGGTTTGGGAGATTTATTTTCCAATTTTTTGTTTTCTTTCGTCTCCTCGGTCGTGCTGACCGGCGGTGGCGGGGGTGACTTTACTGTTTTCAATATCGCTAAAGTTGTGGTTTCGTCTACTTTTTTACTACGAGTCACGATACTATGTCGCAGCGTTGGATTTTGACCTGCAATAAAAAAATGGAATACAGTCCGTTTATCAGCCAATGTTGATCGCACGTAAACTTATAGATTCAAAGTATATTTAAATAAATAAAAACAAAAATAATATCAAAAACAAATGTATTCAAAAAAGAAGCAATAAATGAACAAATCGACTAAGTCGAAAAATAATCTTCCTAAACTATAATATTACGATAACAAAAACAAACTTATGATTTAATTATAAAAAAAAATAAAGAAAACTAAAAAATAATAAAAAAATCTCACTGGAGATATCAGAAACTAAAGCATAACAAAGATTAGTCACAACTAAATATTCTTCTTAACAATTCATGTTTTATATTCTTTTTTTTAAGAAAAAAGAAACCAATAATAAATGACAACTTAATAAAAAATCAAAGAAATATAACGAGAATGCTAATTTTTCATTGAGGCTTGATGCTCCTTCATCCGGTCGGGATGTTTCTGAGCAATATGCGAGATCAAGGTTTTTTTCTGTGAATATTTTTTCCCACAAGACTCACAACCAAACTGGGGCCCAGTGACACATTCGTACTTCTCATGTCTCAACTTGTTCCTTCTATACTTATACTGTTTCTTCTTGCATATGGAACATACATATAAGCGATCCTTAGTGTCATTTCTACGGATCCCACCATTGGTTGTGGCACGTTTCATATTAGACCTTTTTTGTTTTGCAGCCACCATCTTTTTCCTGCCAATCTTTCTGACTTTCTTTTTATTACTTTGTTTGCACCCATCTTCATTCTTAATTTTGATGTTTTTAAAATACCCACGGGTTAATGGAAAAGAGGTTTTGGCGTAATGAAGGATAAGCGGTTCTGGAAGAGTAAATGAATAGCGATAATAAATGACATAAAAAGCATTTATGTGTTAGTCATAGAATATAAGTAAGTATATTGGAAACAAATCTGCAAAGAGAGGAAGCCTTGGTAAGAAGGTAGCGGCAAGTAGTTGATGTTGTGTTTAAGCAGGTGGTAGTATAGATGTGTGCAAGAATACAGCAGAGTCGTAAGGTATACAAGCAAGAGATTTTGTTAGCAATGTCCTGTGGCGCATGTAAAAGGTAAAATGTATACTTCATTGATTTTTGCCCCGTGTTCATGTCCTGTTGTAGTCTGGTGTCTTGGCTTCAAACATGTTTTATTTAAATTGTAATGTCCTACGAAATAATGGCATAAATATATTGAAAAATGAAATGCGCATCCACTAGGAACTGGTAGTGTCCCACCATGCTTCCGATAATTTTTTAAATCTAGTAAACCTAGTGAACATGCACAAATAAACGAGAACATTTTTTCTTTTCGGTTTTGAACATGAATTGCTAAGAAAAAGACGTCTGCAGTGAAATCACATGTGAATGCAAAAAAACGAAAATAATACAAATAATAAATAAATAAGCCACATAACCATCAACTACGTGGACAATATAAATAATTGACATTTACCTTCAATCGGGGCGCCTGGGTGCAGACCATCCAGTCTTCTACAAACATTAATTTCACACTTGTGCTATAAAAATTTATTTCACGATATTTTTACTTAGCGAAGGTGAACCAACTATTTTAAAAGACCCAATAAAACATGGGCAAGGTGAAGTGTCGTGCTTATTGAAATTAATTTTATTGTACTTTATGTTACAACTACTTATGCATAAGATAATTGACAATAAATACGTAAAAAGTTACTTACCAATAAAATAAACTGTTCCACTCCAGTGTTAGACTATTAACGTGTTTATAGTAAATGGTTGCACTATTTGCCAAAGTTAATTGCAACGCGTGCTTTCTACGACAATATTACATTACTGAAGCATGCAATGATCTACATTCACTAAGATCCCATATCACAAACATAAGCGTAACAATTTGTGTAATATTAACGTAAACCTATACTTACCTTTTCAAATAAATACCTCACCTTAAAAGGCTACATTTCATAAAACCTTATTACCAATATACCGTTACCTGATGCACTGGAATATCTTTTAGGTATCATAACGTAATAAAATATAGAACTGTAATAAGATTAGTAATTTATAATAATATTAGATACTAAATTAATATAAGATTGGAGTTTCACATGTGAAAACACTAGCACTCATATCCACTGTCGTGAAAATATAATATTTATATATAACATAAATAAATTATTTTAAGCAATGACTGTTTGTCTATATCAAATTATGGGAAGACATTGCGCATTTCATCCGTTCCTTGTATGTCTGGAACAATTATCTTTGTTATTTTACTTAAAACAATATAAAGACAGACCCAACAAATAAAGTTAATTGTTCCAGACTATCAATCGAATCCCATGTGACATGTCGCGTTGTTTGTCCTTAGGTACACAGAAATACATCGAAAGCAGTGTCAACGCAACATGTTGCCTGAGGACGCGCCGCGTGGCCACGGCCGGGGGCTTACCTTGCGACTCTCGCGCGCTGTCACTCGAGTTCATCAGGTCGTCTTGAGATCGTTCCATATGCCATTGGAAATCTGAAAAGATACAAACACGTGTAAGCACAACCTTACAATTGTGACAAAATTTGAGGTTCCATTACATGAAACTATTAGTTTCAAAAGTAATTCAATTTAATATGTCTTTTAGACACTTTGAATGTCTTATATCTTGTAAAAGTTTGTAACTTCTTCACACCATTCATCTTAAAATTTGGTATACATAATAGTTGGAAATATGGAGGTCATGCGAAATCTAGCATAAAGATAAGAAAGGTCAAAATATAACAGCGACACTTACTGCGTACAACGTCGTTGTGTGCCACGGCGGGCTGGTCGTCAGTCTCCTCGTCTAGCGTGAGGTCCTCGACGCCGTCCCGCTGCAATTCTTCCTTGCAGGGTGCGGCGTCCTCTCCGTTTCCCTGGGCGTTGTCGTTGGGTGGTGGAATAGGTACAGGCGGAATTTCACTGGACATGCGACGTGCTTTCTTCCGACGTCGTGTTGGACTGACAGATCCTTCACGGCTGTCTATACTACCATCTCGGACCTGATGATAATAAAAACTTCAATTTATTATCACTTCAATGTATGTTTTGTTTCATGTATAAGGGTTGTGGGTGGCTATAGTATTTCTGTTGTTGTCAAATGAGTTGAACTACTTACTATCCATAGACGTTCAAGTATATCAATTAACAACAACAATTTTAACTTGTCGAGTACCGGTTTTGTAGACACAATTATAGAACAATAGGTTGCGGTCACCGGTGACCGGTGACCGCAACAACTTGGAACAACTTGGTGTTTGACAGTTTAATTAAATACATAGGTAACTTGTATTTTTGTTCTGGATAGGCACATCATTAAGTATTTCTGAAGTTTCTCTGATGGTGGCAATACTTTTATGAATGACCGAGTTGTACTGTGTATTATACTTATAAGTACTAAGTTTTATTATATGTAAAACATATGTTAGCAGGTTTGCATGTAAGGTTAAAACCATCATATGATCATTAAACCCTAATATGTATGGCCATTTCTATATGGGAATTTTTCTTAAATTGCATTTAATTGTTCGAAAATGTAGTAAAATTAACATTTGTAGCTAGTTCTATAAATAATATGATGATGCCTTTCAATAGTATTTATGTTTATAACCTATATGTATTAAGATAGACAAACACAATTCTTTTAAAATAATATATGAATGTACAATATGAAACAACTGTTTTATGTGTTTAACAGATGACTTTATCTATTGTAGATGAATTGCACATTAAAACATCTGCCAACACACATGGCAGTGCCAAGGTTTCCCACTCTAACATTACTATTACTTGGTCATTCCCTTTCAATTGTATGTTCGATACAACTTTGACAACATTCCAAACATTTATGTCTGTGTGTAAACTGTTTCATCTAGAATATTCTTAGTGATGATTTATACAGTAATATTTTGGTTAATACTAATATAATACATTTTGTTTCAATTGTACACATATAGTACAGTAGAATGATAAAAGCACAAACCTGTGGTGGAGGTGAGGGAGCTCGAGGCGGGTGTGCAGCGACAGCCTGCGCGGGGCGCGACGGTGGCCTCGAGGGCTTGTTGTCTGAGAGCCCTTTGATCTGTAGGGACTCTGCAGCTTTTAGCAGTGCAGCCAACTGGTCTTGAGATATGTTGACCTCACCGCGATACATATAATCCATCATTGCTCTCAACTCAGCATATTTGACATCTTTGAGGATAATTATTGGATGCTTATCATACTGCTGTGATAATACACTCTGAAACAAATTCATCCATCCATTGTTCACTTTGTTTACTTTTACTTGTGGTTATGTTTGTAAATATTCTACTGAAAGTCAGTCTCAAATAACAACTCATTGTTAAACCATTTGTTTCAATTTCACATGAAACAAAAATCAATTAAATGTAATTAGTTAATGCACCAAAACACTTAGCATGTCATTAAGTTAACAATAGTTAATGGCATGATGTTAGGTAATGTGAATAATTGCAAGCAAGCGTTTGGAAAAAGTAGTAGAGGCAACTTTCGGTTGCCAACTCATCTATCCACCTATGTACACTACATAATTGTTAAAACATGAAAGCTAGAATGGTACAAGTGGTATGTTTATTAGAGCAAAACTGTGTTGCCTTGCAAGTTACTTAGACACGATTGTAGCTGACCTACATTACAGAGACTTTACATACCTCGAAATACGGACTGCACGCTGAGAGGACTACTTTGTGCGCCTTGAGCGTCTGTCCTTCAGCAGCCAGGGTGCAGTCCACGTGCATCCCCTTCTCAAGAAGAGTGTCGAAAACAGACACCAGTGTAGACTGATGGTTGTTCCACCTCAGGCAGAACTGTTGATCGTCGTCCATGATGCCGTCTAGCCACTCGCCGCGCCCTCAGCCCTACAAACGTACAAATCAAAGCAACGTCTAAACAAGGTCTAATAACACACGCAATAACTAGGCCATTAGGAAAACTTCACTAAGACTACACAAACATTGGATTCTGAATGATTATCACTGTACAACGTTAATTATCTCACCGAATCACTTCATACGATGAGATCACGCCCCAACTTAACTAAATTAACTTTACGGACCACATACGAGTCGTCGTAAGCGACGCGGCACAAAGAAAATGGCCGCTTTTCCAGCGCGACAAAAAATAAAATGGCGACGAAAATTCTAAGTTTACCATTTTCTGAGATAACTTTTTAGGCCACACTTATGCTAATCGAAGTAATCACGTTGCTAAGGTAAGATAATATCATCAAGGAAGTTTGAAGTCAACAAAGAAACTTCGGAGAACTTTACTTCGAAAGTTCACAGAGTGGAAATTTTCAAGATGAAAAGTCCTAGTAATAAGTAAGCCCTTATCGGAGCCGTAATGCTATACTAAGATTAAAATGCTTACCTTGACTATTGCATTAACTGATTAAACGTATTTTAACACTTTCAATTCTATTAAAATTTCTTTCCACTTTATTTTTAACACATTTGCACACCCGCCAGCTTTCGTGAATGAAATTGAAAACACTAAACTAAAACTATGCTATGTTGCAAGTTTAGAGAAAGGCACCTCTACAAAAATCCAAACGAAGTACAAGTTGGAAGCGACGCGAATGACCCAAAATAAGCTCCATAATGTTGCCATTAGTAATTAATAGGAAAGCTTGAAAAAAATAATAAATGCACACGTTTATTAAATAAATTATGATGTAAAAGTTTCAATTAAAAATAATAATAATTTCATTTCATTTCTATTCGTATATCGTGTCTTATTCTATAATAAATCATTAGCACTTTGAATTTAGAACACCTTGTCCTTGACCCACTTTTAACGACATACATCTCGTGATTCCAAAATTGTTTCAATAAAACAAAAGAAAACTTTATTATATTGGAAATTATTTATGAAAATAAATGGAATATTATTTGTCATTTAAAATGTCTTGCTTCGATATTCCTCAATGGAACATTAGATTTCAAGTTGAAAATAACGCCATCTGTAGGTTATTTTCAAATATAAGTCGACATGTAACTATACGGCTTTGTTTTGTATCAGTCAGGTATTTGATTGTAACTAATTGACTCACTTAATTCTAGAACTGAGTTTTTGTTATATTGTTACTTGTTTTATTTGAGCTCTGAAATATGTATTGTCTCATTGTTTTCTAATGAGATAATACATATTTCAGAGCTACTTGGGTACTAGAAACTTGGCAAAACTGTAGACTTCCGGTAAAGAATAACCGGCTTAGATGAACGTTGAGAACAAAACGGCTACCTAGTTATTGTACTAGTGAAACAAAATAGTATCTAGACTTCTAGATGAGAGCTGTTCTTCGAATTCGGTTATACGTAGCGAACGGCCCCTTCGACTAGGTTGACCGATTGACCCGCTTCCAGCGCATAGGTATTATTGCCGAGTAATATAAGATATCTTATATTTTCTTCATCATCCGGACGAGGAATGATCTATTTCTATTAAGTATACCTACTACTATCACCCGAATCTGGTTAATATTTATTGCTGACAAATAGCTATTAATGAAATGACATATTAACACAAAATTTAACAAATGATGGAAAAAAATGGTAGATGAAAGGTTTGATAAGTATTAATAACAAACAAATAAATCTCAACAATGACTTCATAACGCATTAATGTGTTAGTGGCTGGACGAGCGGTTGCTGTGAATTAATGTGTTAGAGGTAAATTATTGCTGCTCCGGTGCGACATCTACTTAACAAGAAGTTTGTAGAATTAAGTGCATCTATGACACAGCAGCAAATCCTAGTCTAAGTTTACCTAGTTTAAGTTTTTAAAAAATGTCTTCGTATCCACCTATAGGTATGAGTTATAACCTATTCGATGGCTGTAGTACTGAGCGACCTTCGAGCGGAACACAATGGGTCCATCAAAGTCACAGTAATCTACCAATTGACGAACAAGTGTCTACAACCGCTACGTGAACGTGCTCTATAAACTACGTCTAAGTACATTGTACTGGATCTGTGCAATGTCTTATCCTACTACTCCTACTAGTACATATTATAAGTGTGTATCTTTGTATTTTTTTTTAATGGCGTAAGCCGGTAAACGAGCAGACGGATCACCTGATGGTAAGCTATCCGCGTCGCTCATGGACACCTGGAACACCAGAGGCGTTACAAGTGCGTTACCGGCCTTTTGGGGATTAGGAGTTTGAGGATCGTTGGGGATTCAGGAATTGAGGAGATTGGGGAAGGGGAGGGTACCGGTCACACGACGAAACACAACGCAAGCGTTGCTTTACGTCGGTTTTCTGTGAGGCCGTGGTATCACTCCGGTCGACGGGCCCATTCGTGCCGAAGCATGGCTCTTCTACACTTGATACTCCTTCACGGCTTAAGGGATCGAGATGAAGTTTGGAACAGGGGTAGGTTATGGACTGGCATAACACAAAGGCACTTTTTATCCAGGAATGCGCGAGAAGCCGTTGATAGAAGCTAGTACTTATACATACCACAGATGGAGCCCAACAGGGCCGATGGCGATTCGGAGTCGCGGAGAACCTAACGGGTTACCGGGGCTCCGGCTCGACGTGCAGAAGAAGGAACGGGGTGGTTTTTAGTCAGTAAGAGTCTGACACTCCCTCTCGCCTCACTCAGGCGGGAGCAGTCATTCGATGATTTTCCCCCCTTAAAAAAGTACTTATACATACATGCAATTACTACTTTTCCTTTATCATCGATATAGTATCAACTCATGACATCATGGTTATAGCTTCACGTGAGTCAAGAGAGCTAGGATTTGCCATACACTTTACACGTTTGGCAAGCGGATATGAGATCACAGTTTGAAAGGTTCAGGTTTATCAAAGAGCCCTGCTGCTTGGTCTTCATCAAATGTGAGGTACCTTTGTTCTTATACCACGGGAAGAGAAGCAGTGGTCATAACAGCTTGTTATTTTACTTACTGTGAACGAAGCTTGTACCTAATGGGTATGCTTTAAAAATCTGATCAGCTACTGATTTATGAGCAGTTTCCTCAAATATATTGGTGGCTGTAATCTTGTAGCCGCTTGGCATGCGTAGACATTATGGTAAATATATTCCTTAATTTTTTTTTTAAGGAGGACATCATCAAATGTCAGGGACATCTTGGTTAAGCGGAATGCTACATTTAAGAAAGAGGTCTAATCAAACGTCAGAAAGACATGTAGAACATGGGCAGGCAACAATGCTAGTATGTATGTTGCAATTATCTTTTATCTGTTTTGCTATAGTGTTTTAAAGAGTGCCAAATTAAGAATATGCTCAATCAATCATATACTCAGTGTATTTCACAGCGTGGATAACTAACGGGGAAGCCTTTGTTTAATAGTGGAAGTCTATCGGCTGATGATGAATTTTTCGGCTATGAATAAAGTTTGATGTATGCAAATTTGAAAGAAAGAGCCATAGTTCAGGCTGGTTTTGGTTCCAATCTACTTCGGTGTCAAAGCTATAAGCCAATGTATATTTTCGTCAGACCAGAGTTTGGTTACCATCGTGAATAGAAGCATGATACAATGTGGTTTTACGACTTCTGGCTTGCTTAACTCTGATTTAATAACAGATATTTTCGATGGCAAATCGAACCCAGGTCCTGTTTTTATCGTTTGTGTTTCTACTTTTTCCAGATAAAAAAGAGAATAAGCCGTGAAGTAGTCACGACTAATTATTCAAATAATTATTCTCTTTCACGACTGATATATTAATTTTGAAACTCATTTGTTTGCTGAAGTATTATCATAATTTATTATAATAGACGAAACAGTTTAGTAATGTATAACTGTACATACAGCAGTATTTTATGTTACTGTAGGTACTACAAAACACATCTACAGGCAGCGGGGGAAGTGAATACCTACTGCTGATACTTTTCCTTATTTTAAAGACACAGCCTGCGCCCGTCCCCCGACGGCTTTGTCGCTTCGTTATAAAAATCAATAGCATTAGTAAGTTCGTACAAACGAATTATACGATTCTCTTTGTGTGCGTCGCCAGGCCCTCGGTGTGCGGGAAACAAAAAAAAACCACGAGCGAAATTCTTGTAATAAAAATCAATCGGAGCGGAGAGAGAAGGCGCCGCGCGGGGCGCCGACTGGTCGGGCGTCCGGACCACCCCCTACCGCCTCCCTGCATACCTACACGCGCTATAATGCACCTACCCTCCCCGCTGACTTGGCGCACATTTTTGTACTTGCTATACAGTTCAGCAATAGGGAAGCTTTTCATTTCAAGATATAAACTATTTAAGGTAGTTTTCAAAGTTTCGACAGCCTCCTGCATAGTGGTTCAACTGAGTGTGTCTGAGTGTGTGGGCCACGTCGCCGTCGCTCGTAGCGGTGGCGCCGAGAGAGGGAGCAGCGCTACAGCGCGGTGCGCGGCCGGTTCCCGGCAAAAAGGCGTTTGTTTTTATTTCTTTGGCGCGGAAAAAAATCAGCACGCGCCCGCCCTGCACCTCCTAAACATGCGCCACGCAGCGACGCAGACTCGGCCGGGTGTGTGCCGAATTCACTTTCATTTGCGACATCTCATCGTTTCCCGAAGGTCACCGTGCAGTCGCGGGTGCCGTGACAAGTCCGCGGTGCATGTGTGGCGCGGGCGAGTGCTTGCGGCGGCCACCGCTGACCGACTAGGTGAGTCGAGTGAATTTCGCGCCCTCGTCTTCGGCAATTCCGTTTCCCTCGCGTTTATCGGCACCCGTTTCGCACCGTCCTTCGCCGTGTGCCGGGAAGACGATGAAAGTGAATGTGTTTTCGTATCTCGCGGTGTGTCGGGGTCGCGCAGACGTGCGCTGTGGCCGTCCGCTCCTCGAATGGAACGATGTGAAGCGACGAGAGAGGGTTAACCGCGCAACTTTACATTCACTACTTTCCTCCACCTCTGGCAGGTGATAGCGTACAAATATACACGCTAACATCAACATCTTAAAGTCGCTTATCCAAAAAACTTACAAGTTTTCTTATACGTGTAAAGTTTTGAATCGGTTACGCGCGTTTGCTTCATTTGAAAGTTTCCACGTTGAACTTCCTATACGCCAGCGACATGCATAAGGGCTCTAAACAAACAAAATTAAAAAAGCTCGTGAGACAGTCTGGCTCGCGAGCGGGAAAGAGAGAGCCAAACTTTGCACTCTTCATTTGTGCACCAATCGAGAAAAAATTCAATAAAGCTCGCTTCCTTTTGTCTAATTGCCTATGTAAACCTACTTATAATATGGCGATTGTTCGATTTCTGCGACATTGCGGAGAGAACATGGGGTGCCCCGCTGTTGTTTACACTCGCAGGACAGGTTTAGCGCGCTTTTGTTGTTGTGAAAAATACGACCGTAACGTCGATATAAACTTTCGTAAAAGTTAATAAGAAATTAAGTAGAAAACACATTTCAATATTGTTGTTAAAACTGTGGAAAATATAAGGACGTCGGTGTATTACCTATAATTAATCGTCGTTTTAATTTAAATTGTTATTAACTTGGTTCGCTAGGAAATGCCCGGCCACGGACTGTCTCAAGTGAAATGCGAGCCACTTTCGGACGAAGAAGACAGCGACTCACAATTTGCGCACAGTTATCTATCCAGTCAGGTAACTTTAATTAGCATTTTGTTATTTTGTTGCACGATTTTCGTGAACATAGAATGATTTATAGGTACCTACAAACCTATTAGTAGCTTTAGATTAAATAAATGTAGTCCGTAGTGGTTTGGTACTTGCTTTGTATTGAAAGAAGCGAAGTTTTTCAAGTGTTTAATTACTTACTTATTTCTGTACATGTACTGACGTGTAGTAGTGCAAAATTAGGTATTAGCGGCTTGCTGGCTTCGCTTTTAATTACTTTTTCGGTGAACTTTAGAATATTATTTTAATTTGTATTTTTTTATTGTTTTTCGAAACAGAGACGTGGTACCTATAGCAAATATCAAAGACAAGACAATGCGTATCTGAACAGCCGACCTCGAGTTATAACTTTATGAGTAGTACTTACGAAATTGTTTTATATTAAGTACCTATCTAGTTTTAATTCATAATGACGATAGGACTCTAACTGGGGTGTTATCTGTTTTAGTAATTCACATGTAATCAGTCTAACATTAGGGTCATTCAACGCTGAAACGCAGCACGCGTAACCACAACTCGTAAAAGAGTTTTCAACCGCTAATCAAATTATAAAAACTTGTTCCATTTTGCCCACTTTGTGGAGATTGTAGCATACTTACATACCTACATACATTATGCGGAAAAAGATTTGTACTCTCTCAATATGTAATAGAAAGTTACTTTTGACGCTGACACGCACACGACTAGATAAATTGGCGCAGAAAAGTGCTAAAAGATGAACTATAGTAAGCTTGCTGTGATGAGAAATTCTTAAAAGTTGACCTACAGAAAGGTATTTACTTTCATACTCGTGTATCGGCAAAAGTTCTCGGCGAGTGATATCTGTGAGAAATTTTACTTTTACGCCGTTTCTCTGCAAAATAAGTTTTTTGTGTTAAATCTAATTGATGCGCATTTATTTATGGCCAGTCTCAATATACCTACTATTAATAGTAGGGAATGCAAATCTTGCGAGATCTCGCTTGCGCCTTAATCTCGCGAGATTAGTAATACAATCGACAATACGAGATTTTGCGATCTCGTAAATTTCGAGTTCTCTCGAGATTGACAGTTACTACCTATGTTTTTAGCAAATAATCGTACTATTTGAATTAGTTAAGAAAAAAATAATAGGATTATAAGAGAAACTAATAATTTTTAACGACAATTTTGTCGAAAATTGAAACAAAATAATTCTGCCTAAAGTTATACGGACGAGGTAGGAAGCAGCTGCTAGTTTTTTAAAGAATGTTTAGTAGTTTACATACTACATTTACTTTGACGTATGTATGTATTAGGTAAATAACAATGGAAAGAAACCACTAGTCTCCTCTTCTTCTATTTTAATATAAAACAAACATCCTTTAGTAAAACTATCTCGTTAATCTCACGAGAGTGCATTCCCTAATTAATATATAGGACTATGAGACACAGAAGTTTGACACATTATTTAATAAGTAAGTAAAGATACCTATATTTTTGGTAGTGTATCGAGACTGACCATTAGTCACGTGTCCCTGCGTAGTGCGGTATGGATGGCATGAATGCGATGTGATAGATTGATTGTTTCTAGCTTCAAGACGTCTACAATGTGCACGTAATGATTTATTTCCCTCCTGCAGCTTTGAGCGACCCTCGCGTGTAGGAACACGACACTGCGACTCATTGACAACGAAGTTTAACTGCTTGCTTGATGCTCAATTTGAGAAGTAATTGCTTCCGTCTTCAAATGTTTGTGTTAGCTACTGTACTAACTACTAACAATGTTCTTATTGACACAATATTGTGTAATCATCTTATTTATTTATCTAAGTTTTTTTTTGCTATTCAGGATTTTACTAACTTGAGAGTCTATGCTTACACTCACTAATTCATTGATTCAGTACACTTACAATCACTTTCTTCATTAGGCCAGTGGTTTAGAGGAGCTAGCACCCCTGGCACCTGCAGGCCCAGCAGCGACACCTGTGTGTGTGAAACAGGAACGAGCAGAGACCCCACCGACCACTACACTAGAGACGCTCGAGTCAGCACCACACAATGCTAAGGTATTCCAATTTCAAATTTAAAATGGCTTCTATTACATTGTCATAACAGAAAATAGCTAGACTTACGGCCATATCTAAATGATCTATAAGTATTTGATTGTCTTTGTTCGTCACTAGATCATAACGAATTTTGTACGGATTTTAACTTCAAAAATTCTATCTTTAGTACTCAAATATACTTACGCAAAGGTTGGTTTGACTGCTGATCAATCTAATAATGCGAAGCAGATTACTTGTTACTTGAAGACTTCAGTTAAATAGTTACTTACTTATAACATAGTTTATGCAGGCAAAGTTCTAATTTTATAAAATGAGGTGTTTATGTTACCGGCCTTACAAAAAATTGTACAATTTGAATATTAATGAGCGAGTAACGGAAGTTCCTTAATTAATCTCTTAAGTCATAGATAACTCTTGAGGAACATAGTGAATTTAACGGTCACTGATTTATTTACCTTTTTTTCTCTCACTTTATTTATTTCTTAGAGACTTTAAATACGCTGTCAAGGACTAAGTTTGCTCTCATTGATATCTGGTAATCCACGTTCTCTCGTGGGCAGACGTACGTAGCTCCATCTAGAATGAGTAGCTTACGAGGTGTTAGGTCCCAGCCCTAAATCTACAAACATGTTGCGGACAAATACTACAGCAGTAGTTGCACGTTGAGTCCACGGTTTTAATGTTTACGTTTAGTTATAGTTTTTTTAGGTATAGTCCGTAGCCGCTGCTACTCGCAAAGTGGATCACGTTACGAGCTACGCGCTACGTGTTAGGATCCTTGCGCTGCGAAATACGGGCTACGCGCTATGGGCTGCGGCGCTACGAGCTACGCATTATTGTCTACGGTGCTACGCACTACAAAACTTGCGCTATACGCAAATATGAACGCGCTATGAACCACGGGCTACGTATTACGGTCTACACCCTACGGCACTACGAGATACGATACGATAAGCGCTACGCGCAAAGAGGGCTACGCGGTAGGAACTACACTCTAGAGCTACGCACTACGAGCTACGCGGTGGCGACCACGCGCTACGTACTACGGACTACGCGCTACGAGCTACAACTGTAGTATTTCCCGTCCACTTGTGTAAAATTGGGATTTAGAGTAGAATAGATTTCGGTTCTGATTACTTTCTTGGCAACATTTTATATGAAAATATTTTTGTTCTGGGTAATATAGTTTAATTTACGTTAAGTTAACCTCACAACGTTTGTTTGGGCAGAGCACGTCGTTGCTGGACCGGCACATGGACTTTCTGAACGTGCACGAGGTACCTGACTCCACGGACTTCATGCCGCTGCTGGCCATCAAAGACGAACCTTCATCTGAAGGTGGTACGTATAATACATACAATTGAGCATTGTCCCATACTGTAGGTAGTATCACCGCCACCTGCTTAGATTACTTACTCCTTCAATTGATAACACATCCGTGCATTCATTATGGTCACACAAATTGTCATATAAGAGTATTCTGCGGAATATTCTATAGATATAAAATAGATAAGGTGCGCCTTATCTTTAGTTTAAGCCTAACTTAAGCATTAAAGTTAATTGCTCATTTTACTGCGTGTACAACGCACTTACATTCCATAGAATCATATAAATCTACCTATAGATCCTCGTATGGAGGTCGCAGATATGTACCAAATATTTAATGTTAGTAATGGGCAATTTATTAAACGTTCCGTAATAAAAGCTGGCTTCTTGTTTACGCACGCCATTTTAGAATGGTTGGAAACATTCGAAACTGATTTATTTTAATTACTTTTCGCTTTAAGTGTAAAAGTTGGACAGTCCTTTTCAAACCGGTTTGTTTCATCGTGAGAAATATTTGGAACCCTACAATAGGCTCAGAAACCAGATTACTCTAGATTTTCTCACAGACACTGTTAGTTTCCTGAGAATAGCTACAAATTAGTAGGTGTACCTACCTATGCCTAGCGACCAATTAATTAGTAGTAGACTTGATTGTCAATTGTTACAGATATAATTGCTTATTCGAACGTCTCTCTTCTATGAATTTACTTTCCATATCGAAAATGAACTTTCGAAATAGTAGAATAATTATTGCATTGTTTGAAAATTCAATAAAACTAGAATAGGGTAGACGACTAATAGTTTCTAAGATATATTGATTTGAAATGTCGCGTGACGTCACTTCTCAGTACATTTTATACTAAGAAATGACGTTTTAGCCCCCACTCCTAAACTTTGATTCGTTTTATCTAAGTATTGTTTTATTATACAACAAAATAAAAAAATACGTGTCCAATATTTTTTTATTACCTAAGTTACGGACTAATTATATTTTTAATTTTCATACCCTGTCATCATCCCCATTGTCCTTACATTTTGACGGCACAGTTAGTTTTAGAATAAAGTGATATCACATTGTTTATCAATATTTCCCATGCTGAACACAGAGGCCTCTTCTCTGTTTTCTACACCTCTGTTTCCAGTCGCAGTTACGGATATACCCCGCTTATCTTACAATAATGATGTAACCACAGAACAACACCATCTAAGTGGTGAGGACACCAGCGACTCGTGTGGCCGCCAAACCTCGCCTGCTCCCCGACACAGCCCCAAGAGTTGGACTCAGCAGGACATGGATCGCGCGCTGGATGCACTTAGAAACCATCAGATGAGTCTTACCAAGGTAAGAGATCTAAAGAATAATAATAAATAAAATTAAGTATGGGAGAACCATGCTTCAGCACCGGCCCGGCCTTACAGAAAAGCGACGTGAAGCAACGCTTGCGTTGTGTTTCGACGTGTGAGTGAGGTTACTGGAGGCCCAATTACCCTTTCTCAATCCCTGAATCCCTAACGATCCTCAAACTCCTTATCCCCAAAAGGCTGGTAGCACACTTGCAACGCCTCTGATGTCTATGGGCGACGCCGGTTGCTTATCATCAGGTGATCCGTCTGTTGCCGGCTTATGCCGTAAAAAAAATATATTTCAGAAAAGATAAAAATTATTTGAAATATTATAGCATTTTGAAACTTTTGCACATGTCGTCATTTTAATCAACTTAAATTGAATCAAGTTAAATTGTCACAAAAAGCTGATTCTTTCTATTAAAGATGTGTTTAAAAAGATTTTTAAAATTCATCAGTTTCCATTTTTCGGTGGAGGCGTAGACAAAAATACTAACGTCTTTGATAATAAATAGGTAATCCTTAAGAAAGTAAAAAGTGTTTACTTAAAAATAGAAATAATTATATATTGAAAGTTAGAAGTCAGAATTTGTAGATGAACTTTTTGTCTTCCGAAAATGGTATGAGTTATTTGAAGAAGTTTGACTGCCTCGTTGGCCGAGTGGTCGCAAGTGCGACTGCCGGGCAAAGTATTACTGGGTTTTAAAAAATTCTCAGTAGTAGCACGTAGTCTGAAATTGTGCCCAGTATATGGCAATAGGCTCACCCCCCATTACATGGGACTCATAACATAGTGAAAAGTGGGTGTTACATTGTACAGTGTTATAATGTACAACCTCTGCCTACCACTTCGGGGACAAAAGGCGTGATGTAATGTTATGTTATTTGAAGTACAAGAATATGGTCTACCTATTGAATTTCAGAATAAGTACCAGTTAGTACTAAGTCAAACAGTTAATTTTATTAGATAAAACCAGTCACGGTTGACGAGCCACAGATTATACGCGTGACGGTTCCAAGTACACAAATAACCTTCAGTGAGAACAGTTTGTTTGATGACCGTACAGCCAGTACTTACAGTTTGTATGACACGTAATTACAGACAACTAAGCTACGTAATTAATTTCGAGGACGTATGTTTTGTTTATCCATTATTTTTGTATTTATTATTCGGTATACAAAAGGTTCGTTGCTTCATACTTATGATAAAATAAGGCAAGCGGTGTAAATCTCTGAAACAGTTTTTCTTAATTAAGATGGGCCTGAAATAGTCATAATTTGTTTATGTTATTAGAGGTATAATTAAATTTGCCCGTCACAACACGTGTACTAGAAATAATGAGACAGTGCAAGATTGGTTTTCATGTGGGTACATTTTTTTTTATTTTTTTTTTTAAAACATTGCCCCTCACTAGGATTTTCTCCTGTGTCGTGGGTGCGTTTACAAACATACAAGTTCAAATACACATGACACCCAGACCCGGAACAACAATCTGTGGATTACACAAAGGGTTGTTCCGTGCGGGAATCGAACTCGCGTCACGTTGCGCGGCAGTCAGTTGCCCAACCACCGCGTCAACCGCGCAGTCAAAGTTCATTATGTTCTAGATTTCATTAAACTACCATAAAGAATTTCTTATTACTTTTGTGATGTCACCAGGCATCAGCAACATACGGCATCCCATCGACTACGTTATGGCAGCGTGCCCACCGGCTGGGCATAGACACGCCGAAGAAAGAGGGAGCAGCCAAGTCCTGGAGCGAGGCAGATTTAAGAGGGGCACTGCATGCCTTGAGGGCTGGTGCCATCTCCGCTAATAAGGCCAGCAAAGCGTATGGTACGGTGTTCTGTTTTTTAAATACTAAATTCCATTAGTTTATTCGCTTATTTATCCTCAGAATAGTTCCTGAGCCAACATGGCATCATTCACCTAAATCGTATTGTCCTTATCATCAGCCCGCGATAATACACGGATGCATTTCACGCTTTCTCATATCATGGTAAGATGGTGTACCATGATAGTTGGCTAAAAAGTTAGAACCGTATGGTCCGTCCAGGTATCCCCAGCAGCACGCTGTACAAGATAGCTCGGCGCGAGGGTATCCGCCTGTCGGCCCCGTTCAACGCGGCGCCGACCGCGTGGCGGCGCGCCGACCTGCAGCTGGCGCTGGCGTCCATCCGCTGCGGCGCCTCGTCCGTGCAGCGCGCCGCCTCGCAGTACGGGATACCCACTGGTAATAATATAGTCCACTTAAGTCCACTATCTATTAAGGTCAACATCAAAGCAGGTTCTGAAATAAAAGATAATTCTCATTGTTAAAAGCAACGCAGCTGTGATTGTGACCACTCTCCAGTTGCAGGTGTGACCAAAAAGAAGCAGTTTTAGCATGTATAATTTATTGCATCTCATTTGCGAAAATATAAGGGTGTTGCCCAGTCGTTTGTGTAATGCATGGCTGAAGAGAAATAGTCATTTAAAAATGATCAAAGACATAATTCACATTTTCATTCTTACTAATATTATAAATCGGAAAGTGAGTTTGTTTGTTTGTTCCACTTTCACGCCGTTACTACTAAACTGATTGCTTTGAATTTTTGCAGAAAACGAAATTATTGGTATAGATGACGCTGTGTGTATTGGTATATGTCACATAGGCTACTTTTATCCTTTTGTGACGCGAGCGAAGCCGCGGGTAAAAGCTAGTAATTTATAAATTTGTTTTCAGGAACGTTGTATGGTCGGTGTAAGCGAGAAGGTATCGAGTTATCTCGCTCCAATCCCACGCCGTGGTCGGAAGACGCCATGGGCGAAGCTCTCGAAGCAGTCAGGTAACATACTACTAGTATACAAAAAATTACCTATCAATGTAGTAGTAGATAATCTGATGGACCCGTACCTTAAAACTGCGACTAGCCGTAGAGGGGCAGTTGCAGCGAAATTTTGGTGACCCAACTACAATCCTGAAGTCACCAAGCTTGGAGAGTTTGAAGCTTGCTTATTCAGTAGACTTCTTTCCGAATAATGATGAAGAATAACTAATCTGGTGTACCAGATTTATATTAGTACTCAACTGATGTACTAATGTCATTAAATGCAAATATTTTTACAGAGTGGGCCAGATGTCGATCAACCAGGCAGCCATCCACTTCAACCTGCCGTACTCCTCACTGTACGGGAGGTTCAAGAGGTGCAAGTACCAGATGCAGGTATGTGCAACAAATACGGTACGGTAGTTGACAACTAGTCAAATGCAATACTTTTATCGAAACGTCAAAAACGATACTGTTCTATGAATTTTGTACGAAATACCATACTGAAGTCGCAATGGGCAGGCCACGTCGCTCGAAGTACTGACGGCAGATGGGCCAGGAAAGTCCTTGAGTGGAGACCACGGACCGCAAGACGAAGCGTGAGCAGGCCTCCCGCTAAATGGACCGACATCGCCAGAGTTGCGGGGAGCCAGTGGATGCAGGTGGCGAGTTGTCGTTCGATGTGGAGAACTAAGGGAGGAGGCCTTTGTCCAGCAGTGGACGTCTTTCGGCTGTTGAAGTTGATGATGACCATCTTATAGCGTCATCATATTTTCACGTCAAATAGCACACTTATATCTAAAAAAAATGCTAGATTAAATTAAATATATCGTCAAATCAATGAATGAAAGGTTTTTTTTAATGGCATACATAAGCCGGTAAACGGGCAGACGGATCATCTAATGGTAAGCAATCGGCGTCGCCCATGGACACAAATGCGTCACCGGCTTTTTGGGGATTAGGAGTTTGAGGATAGTTGGGGATTCAGGGATTGGGGAGATTGGGGAAGGGGAAGGTAATTGGGCCTCCGGTAACCTCACTCACACGACGAAACACAACGCAAGCGTTGCTTCACGTCGGTTTTCTGTGAAGCCGTGGTATCACTCCGGTCGACCCGGCCCATTCGTGCCGAAGCATGGCTCTCCCACATTTAAAGTGTAACTATTTTTCAATATTTAATTGGACTGAAAAATCAAAATAATTTATTTTTGACCCAGGAAACTACCCAATTATGACAAATGCGTAGTATTGGCTATTCATTTATTTAATTTTCTGTTACCTATACAAAGTGGTGAGGAATTTACATCGGGAACAATTGAACAGTGAATTCACATGATGTAACGGCGTTTCAACATTGATGTTTGACTATTCGTAGTTCGTACGTATCTTGTAAAAATTTGCTTAGATATTTGTATCACAACTTTCATGAGACATACTAAATTAATTAACATATTTTCGGCTTACTCACGTAACTGTTTGACGAGGAACTCGACTAGTTTCAAGTCATACTAGAGGCTCATATTCATGAGCAGCATTCCGCGACACGCGATACGACAGTAGCAGCGCCACAGTCGCTGCGTCATGAGTTCCTCGTCAAACAGTTACCTGCTTAGATAATGTAGGTACAAAGTAAAATGGTTTGGCTACAACATGAGGTTTCGAATCATTAATGGTATGTGTAAACCCTAGGTCTTGTCGTGAACAAATTCTATTTTTAATTAGGTACGTACAATTTCAGTATTAACTCGTCGAGTACCGTCATTATAGATACAATTATAGAACAATAGGTTGCGGTCACCGGTGACCGCTTGGTGTTTGACAGTTTAAGACAGTACGGTTGGCGCGGAGGCTGGGCAACCGGCTGCCGTGCAACGTGTCGCGGGATCGATTCCCGCACGGGACAACACTTTGTGTGATCTACAAATTGTGGTTTCGGGTCTGGCTGTCATGTGTATGTGAACTTGCATGTTTGTAAACGCGACCACGACACAGGAGAAGATCCTAGTGTGGGGCAGTTTTTCATAAAAAAAACTAGTTCTTTACGTTTGTAATTATGATTCCAGGGTGTCCTTCAAGCTCCGCAGCCACTACAGCAGGACCCAGCCAGCACGGAGCACGCCCCGCCACCGGCCGCGCCCCCCGCCCCGCACCACACGCACGGGTACACACACACGCACGAGTACACGCACACACACGAGTACACGCACACACACGACCAGTACGGCCAGTACTACCAACATTTCAATAGTATTGTGACCAGCTGAGGGTATACCTCTAATGATGGATTTTAAATATTTGTAAACATAATGCAGGTCAGCCTAGTCCAAATCCGTAAATTTTTAACTTTATGCTTTTGATATAAAGTTGAGATTACATTGAAATAAAATTGATAGATTGGAATAGATTGACCGGCTGTCTGTAAGCCCGCCAAATTAACGTAAGACAAGATGTTCATTCTTATCCACCTTTATACAATTGAGAATACTAACTTAATTCTTGTCAACCAGTCCGCCTTTTGAAAAGCGTGAATGTAAAATATAAGATAATGAACGACGTCGGCATAATATTTAATTCTAGATGTCGCTATCTCGATTTTAAACTGATTCGTGCTTATGCTTTGAATATCGACATTTTGCAAAAAATATTCAATATTCTGAATAGTAAAGTAACATAAATCGTTAATCGCGTAATATTTTATTTCTTACAGCTCAATAATTGCGATTACAAAAAAGTTGAACCATAACAACACATCAAGTTTTAGTACGAGTAGCGACATCTGTTAGCATAGGATAGGAAAGTGCTAGATTAAAAATAAAATAGAGAGAAAACTGCCATTAACGATTAATACGTAATTAGAAGGTAAATACTGATTAAGTACATCTGTTTAAAAATATACAATTTTACTTTTTACTAAATAATTTTAAGCAATAATCGTAGGTACGAGTAATGTTAATGATAAGCTACTTGCTGAACTGAAAAAAAAAAATAGTTTCAACAATATTAAAAAAAACAAGAATGAAGTCCAAAAGGAGTCTTGCTTTTCTAGATTGATTACAAAAGAGCAAAGTGCGGTAATTAAATTGTTTTCATACTCCCGGAATAAGTATGTACCTATCTACTTACAGAAGTAGATACAAAACACTCTTGATTTGTGCTTTATAGTTTAGGTATTATTGTAAGTCTAATAAGTACCTAGATGCAGTAGGTGATATTTTTCTCTATTTGGTCTAACAAGAAGGTACTTTTTGTACTTTTCTGGGGTATTTTAAAAGTTATACGTAATACTGTAAGTGATGAATTTCAGCAATATTAGGGACGTAGTATTTACAATGACTAACGTATGCTATTTACTATTAATTATTAGTAATCAAATATCGGGTAGACACTAGACTTGCGTGTAGAGGAGGCAGTAAAGCAATCTTAGTTTACTTGCAATTTCTTGATACAAAGAATTAAATGATAAGAATGTATTATTCTGTCCAAACGAAAATACGTAATGTAATGTGATAGACTCTAGATATGTAAGTCATATTGTTCGTTGATTTGTTTTATGTTATTGTAAAAAAAATAAGTTCCGTTTTTATTCCTTTATTGTAAATCCATATGTATCCGCTAGATGGCGATTTATAGTTTTCCTATTAGTCAAAAGATGGCGTTGTTTTCATTGTGATATTGTTTGGCACTGCAGTTTGATAAAGTGAATGTTCAAACTAGCAATAATTAGTTATAAAATACGTTAACCCCACCTTATAGTACTTAGACCTATATAAACTTGATAGACTGAATTCTTGTTTTATTTAAATTTTCCATAAAGGTTCCTTTTTTTAAACGTAACAGTGAAAGGTAGGGTGACTAAACTAAACGAGACTGTTTAGAACATTGCGTTAAATAATGTTAAAAATAGTTGCTGGTCGGCTGTTTGTCAAGGCAATTTGACAAAGAATTAAATGTTATGGTCAGCAAAGTAGTAGAACCTACAATTTTAAATAGGTACATCCCACTTTTTGTTGTATTACTCAGTTACTCGTATAAATAAATTATTTTGTCCTTTCGACTTTCTTGTTAATCCAATGATCTCAAGCGTGACTGTCTAGTGAAGTACCTAAGTAGTGTCGAATTCATGTCCAGTTTTCGAAATTCTTCGTAACGGTAGTCCAAAGTTTCTCACCTGGTCAGGTACATCAATAGATATTCACCCCTATAAGTGTTGATTCAATACTTAATCAGTTCCTCAGATCGTTTTTCACTCTAATTTTCAGTCTTTATTAATTTCGTTTTATAATGGACGTACCAAGTAAAACAAATACATGTACATAAAAAAGTCGCTTTATTTGTTATCTACAGTTAGATATAAAATAAATTACATAATGATTTTCATGGTTTCGGCTGCGGCGTCCGTGGCTACAATATACAATTTTTCATACATCTTATTCACTTTACATTTAAGTAAGAATACACTATACCATTGCACAAAATACAATTTTATCGTCACAACTTATATTCAGTTCTAATTTAATTCAGCATTTGTTCATAATATTTACAAAAGTGTCAGTAACTCAACACTAGATGGCGTTGCACGGCAGTAGCAGTTTATGAATCTAACCAGTCGGTATTGTCGATGAACGCCATCTATTGTAGAGTTGTACAAAACTAAACAGAAAAATATTAGAATGATTTTTTCACTAGGGTTGTCTTTTCTACAAGTTTTAATAACATAAACAGAAGAGTTAAACAAATACATAAGTAGATTATGAATACATCTTACTACTTAAAAGGATGAAATGATATAGGATCACTATTTACAATATGACATCAGAGATCATTACAATAGATACAAAATGCTCAAAATGCGTTCGGCACACACTACGGGACTAACGTCACAATAACAATATCAGCACTACCGTCATGGACTCACCAACACTACTTGTGTGTGAGATACAAAGTAATTATAGGCAATGCAGTGGAGGTGAGCCCTCGAGGTATGTGTGTGGCGAAGATGTGCCTAGTAGTATCAGTACAGAGCAGTAAACTACTTCACTGTCAACAGTAAAAACATATGAAATTGGCAGTGATCAATGAGGTAATGTATCTCAACAGTGGAGTATTTTACTGACTCTTACGTTGGAAAAGCCCAGTCATTATGAATCAAACTGGACGTGACAAATTTTGTATTTAAGCGGTTACAAAGATTGCTTACACGGTAGTGTCCATAGAATATCAGTCTGCAGGCATCCGAGCGAGGAGCGAGGTCGGACGCCACGGCCGCACCGCGGTCCTTAACACTAGTTACGTATATTTGTGCGTCGCGGAGATACACTAGGACTAGACAACGCGACGCTCTCACCACTATGTATGCACTATGTCACTGGCGCGTCACAAACACAACGTCAAGCGTCAGCTCACTGACCGGGCAGCGGGGGCTGCCAGGTACCACTACGTCATCGACAGAGGGACGGGCTTCTGTCAGTACTTTCAAAGGTTTGTTGCGAGACTACATCTCGAAGTAAGGAGCCGAACTGACTAGACAGGGCCGTAGTCGGAGAGCGGTTGTCCCGAGCGCGCAGAGGGCGCCACGGTGGGCACCAGTGGCGCCGGAGGGGGCAGCTCGGGCGCCAGCGGGGCGGCGCCCGGCACTAGCGCGGCGGCGGCGGGCGCCGCGGGCGCGCGTCACACGTCCTTGAACAGGGCGC